CCTGTGCTGCTCCAGTATTCGGAACAGTTGCCAGAGGATCTGCGGCTCACTCTTTCGTTCAAAATGGTGAGCTGCCTAGCTCCTGTGCTGGTTCTCCTCCTCCGTCACCAGGCTGTTCCCCCCTTTCTTGTGTGTGGAGCCCGGGAGGGCTTGACATTTCTTCTGATTGGTTGGGTGGCCTGTAATATACACCTATGGTAATGTCACTTTTTTTTCTTTTATATTGATCCATATACATTCTGGAAAGATTTTATTTTTTTGATCATGTGCATTTCTGCAGATATGTAGTGTTCTCTTTACATATAGTGCAACTCCCCCTCCTCTTTTTGTAGACCTGATTCTTTTGAACAATTTGTATCCATCCTGCAGTCCATTCCATTCATGGGTTTTGTCCCACCAAGTTTCTGTTATGCCAACTATGTCATATCCTCCCTCGTGTACTATTGCTTCTAGTTCGCCCTGTTTGTTCCCCAAGCTTTGAGCATTTGTATAAAAGTGTTTAAGAGTTTTATGCCTATCCATGGGAGTGTTTCCTGTTGTTTGAATTTTTCTTTTTTTTCATCACAGCCTACCTCATTGTTTGATTTATTTTCTCGGGATTTGTGATTGGTTTTGTGTTCTAGAGATTCTAGAGATTGGTCTCTCAGACCCCTCAGTTTTATTTTAAAGCTCTCCTGATGAGTTGGGCCAGTCTTTTTCCAAGTACATTTTTGCCTGTTTTTGTGAGGTGTAGCCCATCCCTTGCCAAGAGTCCTTCGTGTAGGAAATGCAGTCCATGATCCAGAAAACCAAAGTTTTCTTGGCAACACCAACTCTTTAGCCAATGGTTTATTTCTAAGATTCTTTTTTCCCTCAATGGGTGTTATCCTTTCATTGGGAGTACTGATGAGAACAGTATTTGTGCTCCTAGCTTCTTAACTTTATTACTTAGTTCTTTGTAATCCCTCACTATTGTACTCAGGTTGTTTGTTGTTTCGTTCATCCCAATGTGGTGGTGGAGGAGCAGGTAGTAATCTGTGGGCCTAATTATTTTGGTTAGATTCTCAGCCACATCTTTGATTTTTGCTCCAGGGAGACAGCATGCCTCCCTGGATTGTATGTCTGGTCTGCAGATGAATGGTTCTGTTCCTTTGAGGATAGAGTCTCCTATTACCAACACTCTCCTTTCTTTTGGGGGGGGGCTGCAGTCTGGGGTGCTTTTCTGTTTATCTCAGATGTGTTTGTTGATGTGGCTTTTTAGGAATATTTGAAGTGACTTTTTTTAGGGATATTTGAAGTTGTCTTTTTGCTAGGTGTCTGCATGTCTTCTTTGAGGGGGGTTGTGGGTCTGAGTGTTTCTGTCTAAGGGGAGAGATCAATTGGTCAGTTTTAGTGGGGCTGTTTCTGGTTGGGTAGGATTGGCAGAGGGGGTTTGTTTGTTGTATACTATTTCTTTCTTCGGGTATTGTGTTTTCTTCTGTGTGTGAAATACCTCCATTTGTCTTCCTCCAAGGGTTTATCAGTAGGGTCAAGTCCTCTGGGAGTTATTTGTTCATTGTTTGGTTTGATTTGGGTGGAGCTTTCTTTTGTACATTGGGGCTTGGCTAGAGTTGCTTCTAAGTTCCTAACCTTTTCCTGTAGTAGTTTACATAATTTGCATCTGATGCATGTATAGTTTGAGTGTTCTTTGGCATCAATGCATACATGGAACATGTATTGCATACCATAATAGCCTCGGTTGCCTATTCCATGAGTTTGATGTTTGATAGTCTCTTGGCCTGCCATTGCTGCCTTGCTTCCACCTGCAGCCCTCCCAGTTTGCCGCTGCTGCCTCGCCTCTACCTGCAAACCTCCCAGTTTGCTGCTGCCTCACCTCCACCTGCAGGCCTCCCGGTCTACAGAAAAGAACGCCATTGCCTGCAGGCCTCTGGTTTGCCACTGCTGCCTTGCTGCTGCTTGCAGGCCTCCTGGCTCCTGTTGCTGCCTCTCCACCGCCTGTGGGCCTCCCGGTCCACCGCTGCCGCTGCCCACCACCTCTGTGCTGCTCCCAGCTGCCTCACCAGTCCACTGCTTTGCATTGCTGCCGACCCCCTCCTTTTGGTTTCCCCCAGCTGTCTCATCAGTCCTCTGCTTTGAGCTGCCATTGGCTGCCTCCTCTCCACCGTTTGAGCTGTCGGTGCATCGTGTGGCCTGGTATGCTATGCCGGTCTCCGCTTCGTTGTGCTGGGATAAGTCATAGGGCTGCTGGGCCTTTCAGATAGGCCTCTGTTGGCCTAGAAGTCCTCCAGTATCCCCTTTATTATCCTGCAGGGCTGCTCTGTCGGATGTGGGGGAGTGCTCCGGTTCCGGTTCGCTGCTCTCAGTTGCCTTTTTTTTCCCCAGTGTTGAGCTGTTTAGCTGTGCTCTTGAGCTGGCTCTCTCGTTCTTTGCTGCCGGCTGCCTCTGACTCCATGTGCAGCCGTTCGTTTGCTGCACTCTTGTTTGCTAGTGTTTTCCTCCTTGCCCCAATTTCTCCTTTTCCTTTATCCTTTCTATCTTCCTTATCTAACTTTCTGCTTCTTTTTCCTCCCTTCCCCCCCCCCCCCAGTACCTTCCTATTTAGTTTGGTTACTTCCTCTCCCTGTGATCCGATGCTGCTTCCTACGCTGCCACCATCTTGGAAAAAAGCATTTCTACTAATTGAATTTGGTTCTTGATGCATTTTGAAATAAAAAGTTTGTCTGGGTACTTGTCATTTGGTACACAACATGCAAGATAGAACTTGTTGGTGTTGGTTGCCTCATGACTCACTGCCTTTTCCAGCCAAAACAAAGGGTCATGCATTAGTCACACAACTGCTCATGCCCTATGCACATCTCTTGGAGTCTTATCTGAATTTCTGCAATCATTTTGTGTATTTTTGTGCTTTTTTTCTAAACACGGGTCCTACCACTGAGCAGAAAAAAAATACTTTGCATTACTATTGAGCAAAAAAAACAAACCAAGAAATAATAGGTATATATGAGAGTAATATTTGCATTAGTGATCTTGCTATGGAATACAATATGCCTAGAACAGTGGTGGCGAACCTATGGCATGCATGCCAGAGGCGGCATTCGGAGCCCTCTCTGTGGGCACATGTGCCATTGCCCCCGCCTCGCCTCCCCCCACAACCCCCTCCTCACCAGCAGCCCCTCTGGAGGAGAGTCGCCCCCGAGCGTGGCCCACACGGAGCAGCGCAGCCAAGGACATGGCAGCCAGGCAGCATAGACAAGATTCTGCCCTCATGCCTCATCCTGCACAGTTGATGCTGTGGGGTGTGGGCAGAGGGCGTGGCCGCCATTGCACTGCTGGGCTGCCCCGGCGATCTGTGGCGGGCCCTGAAGGCGGTGAGTGGCCCTGCGGACAGGTGGGGTGGGGGAATGGGGTAGGGGCGGAGCAGGGGATGGAGCAGGGGTGGGGCCAGTTTTTGGGCACTCGGTCTCTAAAAGGTTCGCCATCATTGGCCTAGAACAACAGTCTCCACCATTATTAAGAATAAAGAAGCAATTAAGAAGGCTGATGTTGGAAAAGGAGTTAAAGCAGTAACAAAGAGCATTCCCAAACACTCAATGAAGTTGAAAAGCTGTTGTTAATTTTAATTTGGGTAAATGAGAAGCAGTCAGCGGACAACAGTGTGTCAAAAGGCATGATATGTGAAAAAGCAAAACTGTTGCAAGTCGATCTTTTGAAACACAAATTGGGACCAAGTGGCGGGCGTTGAAGTCTTTAAGGGTAGCCGTGGCTGGTTTGATATTTTTGGAAAAAAAGACTGGCATCCATAGTGTTGTGAAGCATGGCTAGGCAATAAGTGCTAATAAAAAGGCTGTTGATGAATTCATCCATGAAGCACAGAGAAGCTGCAGAAACTACAGAAGGAGCAGCAGTCATTTTTGGTGCTCATCATGCCTCCCAGAATATATACATACAATACATATACATATACATGTGTGTGTGTAAAATGTGTATATACATGCACACACACACACACATACATATATATCACAATTAATGTAAGAATATACAAAAGTACTAAATTGTCCTTCTGTTCATTCCTTTAAGCCTCAATACACACTACTGCCATTCTTAGCTATCGCTCTGCATCTCACTGTCTTTCCATCGCCCTCCTCCTCCTCTTTTTCTTTCCTTTGTTTTATTTAATGTTTACTTAACTTTATATTATATGTGCTTGTTTCTCCTCTACCTCTGCTGCTTGTCTTGCGATGCCTGCTGCCACTAAGTTTTGCCCATTCACTCAGTCGCCGGTGCTCTGGGCTTGCCTGTGCTGCGATGTCTGGTTACCAGTGCTCTGGGCTTGCACACATCTCATTCTCCAGTGCTCTGGGCTTGCCTGCTGCTGAATTGCCCCCTTCCACTCACCAGTTGTTTGGATTTGCCTCACAAAGCCACTCACCCGCTGTTGCTTGTCCTCTGTAAGCAATCCTTCTCAGTGCTCTGGGTTGCCTGTCGCTGCTGGTTTTGCCCATTCACACACTCACTGGTGCTCTGAGCTTGCTTACTGCCGTAAAGCCTACTCAGCCACGGGTTGAGGGCTCATAGCAGTCTGGCTGCAGTTTCATATGGTAGGGCCTGCTGATGCTCATCGCTGCCACCTTCTTCTTCTGCTCTCTCTCTTGCCCTCTTTTTCCTTCAGTTGCAGATTCTGATGCTTTTGATATAATATATTGATTAAACATTGGGAAAATATGTAGTTAAAGAGATTTTTTAATAATATATGATTACAGACATATTGTAATGTATAAAGGTACTTCAAATTTATGTTGGTTATGTAACATTTTTATCAAGAGTGTACTGATGATACTGCACCCCAAATTGATGGATGACCTTGATTGATGTTTAAAATTATTTAAGGACTATTTATAAAATCCAGAATTCAAGTTGGCAATGTCCACACACTATGTCCATGAGGAGAGGAAATGGATAAGTAAGTAATGCTGTTAATGCTACTAACAAGAAATAATTATTTCCTGCCTTTCATGCAGCATGACAGAATCCGCCCAGTTCATCTACGTCGATGCTCTTCTTCTGACATGACTAAGCCAAAGTTTGGCACCATGCCCCTGATTTCCCTACATGGAGACAGCAGTAATCCAGTCATGCTATCTGTTAATCAAACTTTGGTAAGCATCAGATCTGCCCCAATCTGATCCCTTAGGAAAGAAAAGCCTTAACTCCATTTGGTTAAAACAAAGGGTTCTTCTACTAAAAGTGATGGTTGCAGTAAAGTCAAGCCAGATCTGAAATCTAATTAGCTGGATACAAAAATAAGCTGTAGCTTTGCCCCCATTCCATATCTGCTCTGGTCCTTCTCACCTGTCATTCCCTCCTCCCAATTTTCTATCATGTACACACAAAGCTCTATTGCCTTTTCATCTTTCCCTCTTTCTTCCTTCTTCTCCTTCTCCCTCTTTTCATCCTTCTCTCTCCGCTTCTTTTTTTATGATAGAATGCCTATGAGGCCCCCCAAGTTGAGCCAGGCAGATCTGAAATTCTCACCCATTGACAGAGACAATAGTCCTGCGAAAGGAAAAAGAGAAGGGAGAGATACAAAAAAAATCCCAATTAGTAAACAGTTCAATGCAGCTTATCTGGGTATCGGTCATGGAATTTTTAAAGCAGTTTGGGGGCTTTAATATGTGGGGAATCGACCCATTCAGTTTCTGAGTGTGTGTGTGGGGGGGAGTCTTTCCAGGCTACCAAATACTGAATTTTTCCCTGATGAATGCGAGAGTCCCAAATGTCTTTGACTTCAAAGTGTTGCTCTCCCTCAATCATAATGGGGTCGGGAAATGGTTGTGATTCAGGACGCAGGGAAGGTGTGATTTCAGGTTTCAGTAGGCTACAATGAAATACTGGGTAAATGAGCGATTTTTTCAGCTCAAGTTCTACAGTTATTGTGTTACTAATCCTCTTGATGGGGAAAGGTCCAATGTATTTTGGGCCCAATTTCTTTAACAGTTGTCTAAATTAAAGGAATTTGGTAGATAGACCTTGTCTCCCACCTTAAAGTCTTTTGGCTGGGTGCACTTTTTATCAGCTTTTTTAATATATACTTCCCTAGCTTCATCTAAACCTTTTCTCACCACTGGCCAGGTATTCTGCAATTTTCAGCGATGCAATCAATGGGGTGGCCTAAGATAATTCAGGGATAGCTATGAAGTCTTGTCCTGTGGCCACTTTAAATGGAGTGAACCAGGTGTTACTGTGCAATTGAAAGCCATTTTCCACTCATCCCCTGCTTTGATCCTCACTCAGTAATACACCCTCCACAAATCCAACTTGTGAAGACCTTTCCTTTGGCCAAATGTGCCAGCATGTCCTTCATGAGGGGAAGTGGGTAAACATTTTCCACACACACACCATTAAGCCCGATAGTCAATGCATAGATGAAGGAACCCGTCCTCCTCCCTAAACAGTACCTGGGCAGCCACCTTCAATCTGGTGGGTTGAATGATTCCATGCTTTAGGTTTTTGTCTATAACAGTCTGCAAATCCTCCAATTTCCTAGGGGTCATGGAATTCAGTTTAGTTTTGGGTAGTTTGGCTCCCGGTAGGATTTCTATGGCATAATCAGTTGGGCGGTGGGGTGGGAGAATATCTGACCCCTTCTCACTGAAGATGTCCTGTAGATACCAATACTCCTTGGGGATCCGAGGGTCACCCTGGGGCCAATCTTTGACAGTTACTTTTTGGTTTCGCCTGCTGCAGCTTTGGAGTAGGTTTTTGATGGCCCTTTTCCCCTCCCCCTTCACAACTGGCAAGCCTCCTCCTTCAGTTCACACAGGGATTCCATTTCTGGGGCCAAGACAGTCCTAACACAAGGGACTTTTCCATTCCAGAGGCTATGATGAAACTCAGGGTCTCTGTGTGTGTGCCCATCCTTATCTCTATTTGTTCAGTAACAAATGTCGGTTCCCCCCCCCCAAGCTGTCCAACTGGCAAAAAGCTATGGGTACTTTAAGCTATTTGAGTCTCACATCCAGTTTCTTTACCAGGGCAGGGTTGACCTGGCATCTGGTGCACTCCAAGTCTAATAGGACTACTAGGCTCTTCTTTTGCCCTGAGGATAGAACCACCAGTTCTATGTGGAAGGTCAATGCGTTGACTGGGCAACTTACCAAAGGATCATCATTGTAGTTCGATTTGCTTTCCACTGGGCTGCCCATCGGGTCAGTCAGAGTTTTCCCGTCCTCTTTTGGGGATGGGATGAAGTCTATGACTTCCACTCCCTTCAGAGTGGTTTCACAAGTTTGCTGTTGTGGTTTTGCTGGTTTTGCGGCAGAAACCTGAGTTACCTTCTGGGCTGGGTGTGTAGCTCAGCAGTCAGCGGCTCGGTGTCCCTCCTTCCCACACCTGAAGCATCCAGCAAATCAATGGTTTGGGCTCTGCTCACATGGCACCAATTTGGGGGCATCTTTCTTTTCAGGGGGGGCATTTTCGCCATCTATGTTTCAGCCGAACATAGATCGAGCCAGGTCAATTTCCACTTTCTCTGCTAGGACATACCAGAGGAGGGCACCTCTGGAAATGCAAGTGTTGTAGACTTCATCACTTAGCCCATCTCGAAAGCATCCGATCAAGATGTCTTCTAGCCAGTCGGTCAGTCAGCAGGCCTGCACCCTTGGCTGATAATTTTTATGTGATCTCTGGCTTTGCAATTGGCTAAAGGGTCTTCAAAGCATTTTCGAAGTGCAGCCATGAAGCAGTCAAAGTTTCTCAGCTCCGGGGCATCATTGTTGTGGAGGGTGACCATCCATTCAGCTGCAGCCCACTCTAACGCCATGGTCATGCACTGCACCTTAGCCCTTTGGTGGCTATTTCTGGACCATACTCTTGCATGTATGTCCAAACGTGTGCCAGGAAGAACCCCAATTGCTTGGGGTCTCCATTGAACTTTACCCCCAGGGCCGGTGCCTTGCATCCTCTCTGTCTTGCTGGTGCTACTCCTGCAGCTGGAGCTGGAACAGACAGGGCTTTGGGGCCAGACGCTGGGGTGGTTATGGTTGCCAAGGGGCTCGCTGTTGCTGCCATTGCAGCGGCAGAGGTAGTTGCCTCCTCACTTGCCATGGCTGGAGTTGGCTGATCAGTAGGATGTGCTGCCTGGGCTAGGGCTTCTCGAGCTTTGAGATTACCAAAAGCCCACTTAAAGATTTTTATGGCTTGCTCCAGCCTCCAGTCCTCTTGCTCTGGCTCGCCTGTACTCAATTCTTCCTCCAGCTCCACTCGGGTCTCTTGCTGGCGGCTGCCTTGGCCCCCATGGATGAATGTCACTCCCATGGGTCTCTCTTCCCATTCTTCCTTCTTCCTGACCCTCTCCTGTCATTCCCCCCTCCCGATTTCCTATAATGTACAAAGCTTTATTTCCTTTTCATCTTTTCTTCTTTCTTCCTCCCCCCCTGATTTTTATGGCAAGATGCCTATGAGCCCCCACCCCCAAAGAAGAGTCAGGCAGGTCTAACATTAAGGTTCTGCTTGGAAGCCAAACTTTTGAAACAAGAGCAAATTAGAAAGCACACCAGGCACACATTTTACTTATATCATGCAGTCATTTTGAGTTTATGTGGGCTTGAGGAGCATCATTTTATTGTATGACATGATACGAAATTGATGTATTAAGTCAGTATGCAAAATGTTGCATTGTCCTAATTGTCATTGGCAAGACCACTATATTTTATGTTCCACCTTAATAAATACTGTACTCCTTATCCATCAGCACCCCCACCATCTACTGCCCATGAAGTAAGAACCTACAATTGATAATGCATTAAATTTATTCCTTTAAAGCAGGCCCTTTCTGACCAATAATGTGTCATAGATTTTAATCTTCAGCGCATCTGTTGCATAACCTTTCTTCGTCTAGATGGCTAGATGACTTCTTTACAAAGGATAGATTACCTTTTTTTCTTGCAATAACTATGTGCACAAACTTTCCAGATTATGTTTATTTTCCTGCTTTTCTGTGGATAAATTATTACAGTTTCATCTACTTTTTTTTCTTTTGTGTTCAGCATCGCTTACATACTCGAAGGACATTGTCCATGTTCTTTGTAAGTATTTGTTTATTTATTAAAGCCATAGTTCATTATATTATAAATATCATATGAATTCTTACATGAAATGTTGGGGCTATGAAGGCAACTTTTAAAACAGAAGTACACAACTTGATATTCCTGAGTTACAAACAACTGTAGACATTTTGGGTGAAATTCCTAGAGCATCTCCAAAAATGGCTACAAAATTGTATTTTTTAAATATGACTTACGATGAAAACATTTAAATGGAGAATAATTACATAAACAAACCACTCCCAAAACTTGCCAAGAAAACTGCAGGGATATCCCCAGGCAGTCACCAGGATCCAAGACTGACTTGAAGCCCACCCCCAAGAATGATCTGACTTGCCTTTAGACTCAAAAATCTTTCAAAATGCATTGACACCTTTAGTTAGAACCTAAAACACAAAAAGTAGCAAAAGGTAATGATCAGTTGACCTCCAAAACACAAGGCCAAACAAACATTTTTATTAGTTTTGGTTGATCCCAAGTGTTCATACTGGGATCAGCCTATGCATAGATCTCCAGAAGTGGCTTGTTTGGCTTAGACCTGGACAATAAGATCCTCAATTGAAGCCCCAAAGTAAAAGCAACCTATCATGAACACAGAATCTGTTTTTCCCTCAAGCCCAAAGAACAAATCTCATACTTTCTATCTTGACCCCTTACAGCCAATGAAAATGCATCAAGATACAGAACAGCAGGAGCTAGCTGAATCAGAGCCTGTCTATGAAGAGGTAGGCAGCTTTACAGATCTGGATTTTCTAGAACCCAACCATTCCCTACTGCCTCCTGTGGATAAGGCTAAGAAACCAATTCATTTTTCAGATCAGGTGACATCCAGCATGCTGTCCCCTTGTCGAGTATCTGGAACTGACTTAACAAAACCTTGCTGCTTTGAGAGGACCTTTCAGGTGGAACCAAGTAAACAGAATCTCACTGACAGAATATTGGGACACAAAGTAATTCCAACTGTCTCTATAGAGCAGCAAACAGAGCTGCCTCAAGCACAGTTTGCCCTGCACAAGGAAGAGGATCAGCATACTGCAGTTCCAACCCTCCATTGGGAAAATCCAACTGAAGTGGAAACTCTGGTCAGTAACTACACAAAGAAAAACTTCCAAACATAACTCACAAGACCTGAACATATCTCATCCAAAAGAAGAAAAAAAAAACAGATTCATATCACATTAGGAAAGCAAGAATGTGTTAGAGAAGGAGGCTTGTAAAGTAAAAGTGGGCTCAGCAGTAGATCCCAATAATGACTGGAGGATCAGGGAGGGTAGTTGGGCTACTGTAAGAATGAGGCAACTATAGCCAATTGTCCTGTCTGAAAGTGCAGTATTGGAAATTCCTCCTAATTTTCTCTTGCTTCTACACAGTTGTTTTTAATTCATTAAGTGGCGAAAGGTTCCATTTCTACATCTCTTTGAGAATTATTTTCCCTTTTTGTTTTGTCCTCTGAATAACTTCCTGTTCACTGCTATAGTCTCTACCCCCCCATCTGAACAGACTTTTCTTCTTTTGATGAGATGCCAGTACAATGAAAAGGATAAGCATCCTTCTCTTTTCCCTTACATTCATAAACTGTCAGTCATCTCTATAGCAATGATACTTTGTGCTTGTAAGGTATTTAAGGGAAGGAGAAAGAAGGAAGAAGGAAGATAAAACCAAAATGGAAGCTACCATCTAGGTAGGCAACAATTCAGATAGGACAGGAAAACTTAGAAGCCATGTGTGGGAAAGGGAAACGGAAGCATTTTATTTTATTTTACTATTAAATTTTATTTTAAAGTAAAAATAATTGAAAATATTTTTCAATAGAAAATATAAACTGTTCAATAGAAAATATAAAAGAACAAAAAAGTAAAACAAATTATACAAAAGCAAAAATTCAATTTTAAAAAAATCATTTTCTTTATATCTACCCCAGAGGTTTCATGTTGCAGAAATTATGAACCAGTTCTCAACTTATGACCGCAGTTGAGCCCAAAACCTCTGTTGTTACTAAAGACAGTTGATAAGTGAATTTTGCCCCATGCTATGATCTTTCTTGCCACAGTTGTTAAATGAATCACATGTAATTACAAGCAGTTGTTAAGTTAGTAACAAAGTTGTTATGTCAATCTAGGTTTCCCATTGACTTTGCTTGTCAGAAAGTTGCAAAAGATGATCATATGATCCTGGGACATGGCACCCATCATGAATACATGCCAGTTGCCAAGCCTCCAAATTTTGATCACATGACCATGGGGATACTGTAATGGTTGTAAATGTGAAAAACAATCATAAGTCACTTTTTCAGTGCCATTGTAACTTAGAATGATTACTAAATGAATAGTTGTAAGGACCATCTTTATTAAAAGTTTGCTAATATGACTTCCGGTTTTGGGTTGCAGTGGCTGCAGGTACACGAAGAGGCTTCTCTCTTTGTTATCTGCCTTTCCTCTGCTGGTAGACCCTTAATTGGGTCGAAAGTCACCCTGGAGGGGTGACTACCGATGAGGACCCTCGTTGATTGTGGGGGGAGGAGGCAGCTCCCTCCGCGGTCCGAGGCAGCTCCTCAGGGCCGACAGAGAAAAGATTGGCCAGTAACATGGCCGATCATTTAGCTGCTCCAGCCGAAAGTTAAAAGAACATCTAAGTGTTAAGAAATCATCGTGGATGATCCCGGTTAGACTTTTCCCTCTCTCTTTTTGCCTAACTACTTTCCTGTTAAAAGCCTTTTGGAATTACTTCTCTGCTTTGAAAGAGCTGCCTTTGTTTATCTGGGGAAAAGAGCTTTCCATAACAAAGGAAAAAAATTGTATTGACTATTTTTATTTTTGGTTACTTGGGGGCCCTGGAAAAATCCTTATCATAAAACTTTATTATTATCTCTTCTAAGTGGAGAATATTGTTTTCTTATGTCTTGGACTTGTTTTTTTATAGGGATAAATCTTTATTGTTTGAAAAAAAAACCTAACTCTATGAGAAGCCAGAAAAGAGATTTCATAGCTTTTTGACTCTGCTAATCTCATTCTTAGTGTCTGGAAGAGACTTTCATAGTTTACTGAGGACATCTTGTGGAGAAATTTAAAACTGCAACTATTTCTTGTTTCTTTGGTCCAACAGCTGTTATTAGTGGGGGTGGATACTGACTAAATGTTTTGGAATATAGCCTCCACTAAAAGATAACAGGATTGGATTTAGTTACTACTGAAATGGAGAAACCATATTTACAACTCAACTGTAAACTCATACTGGAAAAAATGTATGAAGCCACTGAGGAAATATGTTCCCAAATATGAGAGAGAACTGCAGAAATAATAAATAGAAATTCTACTGTAAACTTACAAACTGACCTTCAGACTCTATTTGATCATTCTACAGACCAAAAAGCAATAGAAGAGGAATTAATTTACATACAACCTATGGAGACTTTGGATGACCAAAAAATGATTGTAACTAAACTATTTACAATTGCAAAACTAACAGAAATGGACTTGAAATTACAACTGTTGGAGAATTATAACAACTTTGATAATCATCTACTAATTATAAAATTGGACATGATTGAGTGTTTTATCCAGCAGACAGGAGCCAAGAGTCAAAAACAGGATGAGAGGTCTTTTACTGACCGAAATGACATTACAAGCAATAACGGGAGATCTATTTGCTGAAATAGAGGCTTTGTTATGGAAACCTGGTTGGCATAAAAAGAAAGCCAGAATAAGAGAAATTTAAAATTATATGTAATGGATTAAAAAGGTTTTGAGAAATATGGATTGATTTAAGGACTAAGATTTAGAGTTGAAAATTTGTGATTATTAGAATATATATGTTAAACAGAGTAAGAATGTACTTTTTGGAATAATATGTTTATTTGTATGAAAATTATTTTGTAATGGAATGAGAATAAGAATATGAAAGAGGCTTTTAGAAATTTGGATTGCTTTAACAACTAATTGAGTGTGTTAAGTTAGTAAGACGATGTTTTGTGTAATAATAGGTGTGTTCTTTTTTTTTTAGACATGATAATTATTTGAATGAGATTTAAATGCTATTTGAAGAAATAAGAGAGATTTGTGATAAAATCAATGATTTATGAGATTATGAATTAGAATATACTGTATCTGGATTAGTATTTTACAAGGGATACCCAAAGTGATAATACATTTATCTCAGATTAAATTGGACTATGGTAACTGTAAATTAATAAAGTTCAAAACAGGATTAGGATTTATAGATATGTAATGTAGAAATGGATTATGTTAAATAGGTTATATTATTTGAGGGAAGTAGAGAGGGAACATTTAATGTATTTACTTGAGCTATTATATGATTTTGTTTTTGGATGATTGATCACCTAACCACCATGGTTTGTCTTGAGCATTCTGTTGTAAAAGTTAAAAAAACCAATAAAATTTGTTATAAAAAAAGTTTGCTAATATGAATTAAAAGATAGAGATCAAATGAGATTAAAATTATTTTTAATTAAAGAACTGTCTGATTTGGTGCTGTCTTAATTTTTCAACCAGTACTATTTTCTACACTTTCAAATATAATTGTTCCAAAAGAACAATGCAGTTTTCCAGTTTTTTTTTTCCGATAATAATCCTGGTCACTAGAAGCAAAAATTAATTTCTTCTATTGTCTATTTTACATTTTTTTTCTTTTTATGACCCTGTAATCTCTTTATTCAGAGTGGAGTCAGGGGGACTGAATGGAGTTGAGCGTTTACTGGACGGAGGCCTTTGCTGATGCCTACAGAATTTGCAGCAGATATTTTCTCTTTGCGCCCTACTGAACTCTCAACTTTCCAAGTGAGAGTCTTCCTCTCTAGGTCACCATGGCGCTCTTTCTCCTATTTTACATGATTTGACAAAACTGGACAATAAAGCTGTGTTAGCATTAATTGCCCAAGATAGTAGTGGAATGTTTTTCCCTTTTTTAAAAAAAAATTTCAATCAAAATGAACAAGTTAATGGCCATTGCTAACAGATAAGAATATGTATTAATTTAATTAGCTTTTCCAACAAATTTAGAAAAATGTTTGCTTAGTATTTTGAAGGTTATAGTATAGCCTATGACTAATTCTTGATAAATTTCCAAAATCAGTTTAAAAGCTACATCATGCACAGTTCAAAGCTGATTCATCAAGTTCAAATCCCAAGTCATTTTCTCACATTTTAAAGGATTTAAAGAGAATCTGTTGCATTCAATGTAAGAATTAAGAGTAATACAAATTGTTTTTGATTTTAAATGACATGGATATGTACTATTTTTACAACACTGCTCATGTTTTCTAAGTGGGGCAAACTCATGAGCTGAAGAAGAAAGGATTGAACGTATCTCATTTAAAATAGTTGGAATTTCAACAATACCATTCAGCAAAATACAATCAGCAGAAGCCAATAGCCAAAGCTTACCCTATAAAGTCTGCTATTGCCTCATTCCTTGAACAGTTTGTATTTATCTTGTGGACAAAATATTGAAAGTACATATTTTTTTGGCCCTTGGAGAAGCTTCCTTTAAATGTTCTGCCAAGACTTTCCATGACTTTTCAGTTGAAGGTGCCTTTCCCCATTTTTCTTCCTGAGCACAATGACATTTTTTCTTCATTTTTCAGAAAAGTGGAATATATATATATATATATATATATATATATATATATATATATATATATGTTCTTATAAGTTTCATGAACAAATATAATATTTATATATAATTATAGTGTAATAGTTTCATTTTTCACTTTCTTTTTTTGCATAAGAATATTCAATTTTTGTTTTTGGTATAGTTATACAGCAAGTGTATATTATATTTATATATCTAATCCTAGCTAAAATTGTTGAGATATAGAAAAAAAACTTTTGTAACTTTGCTTGTGTAAATCAATAAAATGCTTCTTTAAAATGTTTTCTTCAGAAATAAAGATTTGTAAAATTATTTTTATAATTATGTGAACAACCTTTATCAAATTGCCTTCAGAACAGCTGAGTAACACTAGAAAAAGCTATAGGTGGCCTAAAACTGTCTCATGTGCTTTGAATGTGCTTTGGCAATTGCCCTTGCCAAAATGGTCTAAATAAGAAAATTGTGTCCAAAAGCAGTTAAGCATGACCACCAGTCTATTGAAGAGATGGAAGCCTCATTTCAGCTCTAAAAAGTATAACTACTCTACTAAATGAGAGGCCTTGCTTGTTTATTGATTGATTGATTTACTTATTTATTTATGTTTCTAATTTATCCAATTCACTCAGATTCCAGATTTTTTTTTTAAAAAAGTGCTATTCTTTCTGTAAATAGTTGTCATTCTTGAAAAAGACCAATAGGCTCACAGTTCTAAGATGATGAATTTATTAAATTAAGAAGATATCATTTCAGAGAAAAAATTCCCTTGTGGACTGAAGAATTGCTATTTCTTAAGATGACTTCAAGACGCATCTTTTGATTCATCTCTAGTCTCTAGCCAAGGTGTTTAATTTTATATTAAGCTGAGCTGACCCTAAAGTATTTCTCTAAACACAAGCTTTGCTGTATGCATAATCTGTGATGCTTCAGTGGTGGTGACTCAGGTAATAATGCTGTCAGGGGTTGCTTCTGCTCAACTCCTATTGACCACTTTCCACCACATTGTGCACTCCCATATTGTTCAGCCCTATACAAAATTGTGCCTTCTCAATTGCTAAATGATTCATTCAGAAAATATGCTATTTATGGACTACATACATGAATCTTGAGAAAGGCAAATTCTTCTCTTCCGAACAAGCAACTTTGAATTGTTGTCCTAGACTGGCAGAAGCAGTGGATAGTTACTGTTAGTACTGGCTGAATCAGAAGCAACACATCCACCCACCTGTCAACAGCCCTCATCATCTGTTTTTAAACTGAACTTGCAAGGTAATGAGAAAATCTGCATTGGGCTCAGGAGCTTCCCAAGATGGCAGAAGAGTCTCTGTAGATTAAATTCCAACAGAATAAATTTAATAGATCTAGCCATCTGTCCATTTTTTCCTATTCTTATTCTTTTACTGCTTTCTTCAGAGTAGTAGTTCCTGTGTTCTATCGTTGAAAAGCAACAGATGTTGAGCCACTATATTTTTTTCATATTTACTGCATTTAAACACATTAGTATTATTTGATTTCACACACACAAAAATGAAGTAGGATTTGTTATGGCTTTTTAATTAACATTTACAGAAGAGCATGATACGAAAGTTTTAAAGGATTTAGTTGATCCCAACATTCAGATTCAAGTCTCTATTTCTAGAAAGAAAAACCTATCCAGAATTTTCATGTGAACCTATAAGTTTTTTTTTTTACTGAGCAAAAGTATCTGTCATGTGTACATGTCCACACCTTTTGCAATTAACACTACAATGAAAAAGCTCAAAGCAAGTTGCTGCTTGACTATGTTATGGGAGTTATAGATTTGTGAAAACAAGAAGAGTATACTGTACTTAGAATACTGTTTTCCTACCATTAGGTAGGGAAATGCCTTTTTCTTTATTGCATTCCTAGAAAAAGTGCTTTTCCCCTGGGCTGAGACAGATCTGCACTCAATAAAGAAAATGCAGTTCCTAAATAGCAAGATTTGTTCAATGCTTGGCAACTCCATTGCTCCTGGGTATACAGCACTTACAAGTCAAATACCACTTTAATAAAGACCTCAGAGTCACTGTATTTCAAAGTTAAAATGGGCACAGGTATGCACACAACTCTAAATAATTTAGCTGTTTATCTGAGTCACTACACAAGCGAAGGACCCAGAACTTTTTTCCCTATTCATTCCCTACATGGCTGAGTTCTCTTGGGATCTGGAGGATGTGGTTTGCCCTCTGAAAGAAACAAGACCATGGTGATTCAGAAGTATGCCAGCCAGAGCTGCTAGGGAAACATTTGTGTGGGAGATGAATGCCAACAACTGCTATGAGCTAGAATAATTTGTTAGTTACTTTCTATTGTTAATCATTGAAGCTTTAGTCTACGAGACTGGGTTTGTTGCAAGTACCACATACTGAACTTCAGTATGGTGAAGAGTAGAATTCTTATCAGGAAAGGCATGCTTATACATCCTGTTCTCTTAAAAGACACATATTAGTCAAAGATTGACTTTAGCAAAGTTTTCAAGAGTACGGAGAGGCTTGGATTTCCACTAATGATTGGGTTTTTTTTACAACATGCTCCTGTCCGTGATTATTGTTCTGCTTTTGCACAGAGAATGTAATGGGAATATGGAACTTGCCAGCCTTACTGATGACAATAGTATGTCCTTTTGATGGTCTGACCATGCCAAGTAGAGAATAGCTTTTCCAGCCAGGACTAGTCTACTTTAATGTAGCAACTTCATCCCTGCAAGCCCGAAGTCCATTCCATGTGGCTCTCTCTCCTTAGCAACCCTGACCGTGCAGTTGGTAGGACCTGAAAGAACAAAGATGGTATCAAAAATGCCATTTTATTGGAGTCCCATTGCAAATTCATTCCCAGCAGGATTAAGTACTATTCTGGGGTTTCTACAAGCCTGATGCTATAGTTTTACCTGCTTGGTTTACTTGAACACTAATGCCCTTGTCCTACACATGCCAGGGTTTTTGTCGCTTATATAAACAGAAATTAAAAATTGGTCTCATAATCAGTTAAAAATAATTTATTCTGTTTTCATAGAATAATTAAAATGATGGTTAAGATAAGCCCTCACAGAGGATTATTTTGATCTTTATTGAAATTGGCCTATTCCCAGCACAGTGAACAGAATAAAGGGGAACATTTGCAGATTTCCAAGCTCAGCTTTCATTATGAGGTTCTAGTCTTAACTTCCTTTAATTATTACTATCATTCTTTAATCTATTTTAGCATATCTCTCTTTCCTAGGAATTAGCCAAATCTTCTAGTTCCAATCATAGGCAAAACTTATATTAATCAACATCTATGTAAGTGCATAGTTAAAATAGCTTCAGTATGCAATTATTCTGTAAGACTGCTTAGGGCAGGGTCTGCAACCTCTAGGCCAGGACCGGGCTGCAGAAGCATCAGACAAGCGCATGCACGCAGCTCCACTTGTACAAATTGTGGGTGAGTACTGTGTGCATGCAGTTCTCATTTGCGCGAGCGATGGGCAAGCACACGCATGCACACAGCTCCATTTGTGCAAGCAGCAGGTGGGCTGCTTGCACATGCACCCCGCTCACGCAGAACCATCCTCTCCTCCCCTCCCCCACGCTGGTCTGCAAAGCCAGAAAGATTGGGGACATCCATTCTTCAGAAGAGGTATTTCATTATGTGTGGGAGTGTGTGGGAGTATGTACAAGGCACCTCTCTTCAATGATAACAGCAACTGTCTCTTTGACCAGGCTTATGCAATTCCTTTGTAAATGGATTGTTCTAAATGCCAACAACCACAAAATAATGCAAGTATTTAATAGTGTAAAAGTATTACACTATTTTTCAAGTTCATGAACCTGTGTCTGATGAAGAGGGACACTAGTTCAATTTAAAATTTTGCAGAGTGCACACTTGCTTCTTTAATAAATTAAACTGCTCATTGTATGCTCAATCTACAGTGGCAATGTCAGCTTTGTTTTCTAGAATTTCAATCTAAAGAGTAATTGCTCAGAGCAAATCAACATCCTGCAGAAGTCTTTTCTGCCATTTGGGATCTGCTAAGACCTTTATACTTCTTTGACAATTTATCCAGTGTTAAATAACAAAGGCATATCATTTTATAAAAAAATTCTTCCATGTTATAATTCAGGGCAAATTTTAAACCCTTCATCCAGATGTGTTCCCATTGTTCAAGCATTATATTATACCCAAAATTCTTTGCCCACTGAATCATGTTTTGTTTCACATATTCTTTCTTCAAATTCAATTTCAATAACAGTTTATAAACCTTGGCAACTGCATGTTCATCATTTCCACACAATATGATTTCAAATTCATTTTTGCAAGGTCAGACCCTTTTTGTCTAGTTTAAATCTTTCAATTTTATATATGTAAATTTATGACATCCTTCTGACTCCAACTTTTTTTTAGATTTAAGAGTACATTCACTTTGAATGAAAATTATTATTTAGTCATATATCTACCAGTCTGGGCTCACCATTGTTTCTTTTCTGAAAAAAAAAAAAAAAGCTTTCTGAGATGACATATAAAGATGTACCTTCACTGAGAATCTTATTTTATATTTATTCTAAACCCTTAGGACGGCACATCTAACAAAATTATTCTTCAATAGTCAGCATTCCTCTTAACCTTGTCATGCCATATGTAGGCATGCCATCCAAATCTTAGCTCATAGTCCTTGAGTAATCTCTTGCTTTAGAGAGTCACCCACTCTTTCATCTACACTAAGCAGCAAGCATCAAAGTACAAATCCAGTAGACCTAAACCTCCTCTTTCTTTGGGATCTTGCAATCATTTTCATCTAATTCTTGGAGTTTTGTCCCTTGCCATATGAATTTAGAAATATTCTTTTGCCATTGTTTAAATGAGGTGTTGGCTGTCAATATTAGCAAAGCCTAAAATAAAAATAACTTCTTTGATAAAATATTCATCTTAATTACAGAGATTCTACCAATTGGGATAATTGCAAATTATCTTAATTCATTTTTTATTGTCATTCCATATAAGTACAAAATTCTTTTGAAAGAGTTTGGAATTTGTATTTGTCAGTGTAACCCCAAGATATTTATATTTTTTCATCACCTTAAAAGCTAACTTTCTAATCAATATTTCATAATTTTGAAAAGGCATATTCTTAACAAGCATTTTATTTATTCTGAAGCCTGCTAAAATTCCAAAGTCATTTAGCTTCTTCATCAAGTGTTCTATACCAGTTTGGGGTCTTGTAGGAATATAACTAAATCATCAGCAAAAGCTCTCAATTTATAAACTTCTTTCTTGATTTTTATGCCCATTATCTTCTCATCTTCTCTAATATATGTTGGAAATGTAAATGTAAGGAAAGAAGATTTTACTATCTTTGATGGACTTCTGACAAGGCAAAGAAATATTGGAGTAAGATTCATAGTTTAATACAGAAGATTTTATATTAAACTAGACGACAAAATTCTTTGGTTTAATTTGTACATTTGTTTTAATGTATAAATTAAACCAGAGAATTTTGTCCCAAGTTTCATGGATAAAGAACTTGAAAAAAATGGAATTTTGTTCTTATACATGTTGACAGGAGCGAGAATGCTTTATGCATAAAAAAACATGATAGCAGTATTCCAATATTTGAATGGCTGCCATAAAGATAAGGGATCAACCTATTCTCCAAAGCACCTGAAAGAAGGATAAGAAGTAATGGATGGAAACCAATCAAAGAGAAAACCAACCTAGAAATAGGGAGAAATTTCCTGACAGTGAGAACAATCAATCAGTGGAACTGCTTGCTTCAGAAGTTGTAGGTGCTCCATCGCTAGAGGTTTTTATGAAGAGACTGGACAATCATTTGTCTGGCATGGTAAAGGGCCTCCAATGTCCCTTCCAACTTGTTATGCTGTTATTATAAACAGTTGAGGCTGTAATGTTATTACGCTCATTCTACTGTACTGCATTGAAATGAGTTGGAAGTTAATATGGGTTTTTTTCCTTTATCCTAAACTTCTCTCTTTCCCGCTTTCCCTTTATTTTCATTTTATACGCGCTGGACAAAATTATAATCCAGGTTTAGCAGATTTACATTAGTGAAGAATTCCTCAAAAGATCTGTTTTTTTGTTTATACCTCTTTTGTGATGCTTACTTCTCTCAAATGCCACATTCAGATACTCAAGTTTTTTTACAGGACAATCACATAATTTTTCTGTTTTTGAGTAAGTTGTATGCCACTAAATACGTATATTACCAAAAGCAAAAATATTGCTTTCCCTTCATGTTCCTTGGCTGCATAACTTTATTTAGATAAGGGAATAGAAAGGGAACTCATCAAATTTGCAGACAACATGAAGCTGGGGAGAACTGTCAACGCTTTACAAGATAGACTTAAGATCTAGAAAAAAATATTGACAGACTTGAACACTGGGCCCTATTAAACAAAATGCACTTCAGTGGTAAGAAAAGTAAGAAAAATCAAGTGAATGGGTAGAATAGGTAGTACATGGCTAAATAACAATATCTATAAGAGGGATCTAGGTATCCTAGTGGGCAACCACTTAGGTATGAGCCAGTAGTGTACTGCAACTGCCAAAAAAAAAAAACAATGAAGTCCTAGGCTGCTTCAATACAGGGACAGTACAAGATCACAGTTTTACTGCTTTATACTGTACTAGTGAGGCCACACTTAGAATACTGCACCCAGTTCTGGTCACCACAACACAAAAAAGATGTTGGCACTCGAGAAAGAATGCATAGAAGACCAACAAAAATCATTAGGGGGCTGAAAGCTAAATCTTATGATGAACATTTGCAGGAACTAGGTATGTGTAGTTTAATGAAGAGAAGGACTAGGGATAATATGATAGCGGTCTTGAGGGGCTACAGAGAAAAGGGGTCAACCTATTTTCCAAAGCACCTGAGGGCAGAACAAGAAGGATGGAAAATTATCAAAGAGAGGTTCCAACCTAGAATTAAGGAGAAATTTCCTGACAGTAAAATTTGACAGCCATTTGTCCGGCATGGTATAGGGTCTCCTGTTTGGGGAGGAGGTTGGACTAGAAGACTTCCAAGGTCCTTTCCAACTCTCTATTCCATATAACAAAAGAAACTTATTTTTGTTATTTTTGACATTTGCTGCAAATCTTAGTAGATTCTGAACCTTAGCTTTCCTGACTCCGTTTTTGCAGATATTGGATATTTGCTGGTATTCTGCTTTGGTTATGTGTCCCTTTTTCCATTTTTTATACTTGTCCACTTTTCTTTCAGTTTGTCAGAGAAATCACTGTGCATGCAGGTTTGAACACTGGGCCCTTGTTTTTATTTCTCTGTGGTATTGTGTTTGATTAGGTTTTTATGAACTCATTTTTCAGATTCCCATGCATCTTGTTTTTCCTTCCACCCTTGGAATCTCTCTAATCTCTCTCAATTTGTTGAAGTCTAAAATCTAGTGACTTGGTTCAATTACCTCTGCCTGCATTATGCTGAATTTTAATATGACATGGACATTCATCCCCAGGGTTTCTACAACTTTCATCCTATCGTTTCATTACTATTGGTAAGAATTAAATCCAATATAGTTGACCCTCTAGTTCTCTTACCTACCTTTTGGGTGACAAAGGAGTCAACTAGAACCTGTTTGATCTCCCACTTGGCTGCAGTTTGTCTCCCAGTTGATGTCAGGGTAGTTAAAGTCCTCCATTACTACAGAGGTGTGTTTCTGCATACCTTAACTAACTGATTAGCAAACAGTTCATCAATTTCCTCTGCTTGGCTGGGTGGCTTGCATATACAATTATGTTGTTTATTTTTCCTCTAATGCAAGGCTTTTCAACCAGTGGTATGGGGACCACCTGTGGTACATTGGCACCTGGCAGGTGGTACGCAATCATCCTAGAAAATGATAGTGGAGGAGGGGAATGAGCTGAAGCGGTGGCAGCACCACAAAGCCTGAGCGAGAGATGGCTGGAGCTGCAGGGCTGTCAGGGCTCAGCAGAAGCGCCAGGATCAGCGCCAGGCTCCAGCTGGAGCTCAGCGCTGATCCTGGAGCTTCTGCTGAGCCCAGAAGAAGGGCCGATCAGCTGGAATGTTGCAGCAACTCCAGGGTCTTGTGATTTACATTCAGATGCTTGGCAACTGATTCATATTTATGACGGTCACAGTGTCCCAGGGTCATGTGAAGTGACCAAAACCTGCTGCAACCACCCACAGACGGGGGGAATAAAAACCAAACACCCACCCCACTCCCGCTGCCAATCCTCAACAGAAATGCTTACAACAATGAAAACCTCGGACAGGAGGAAGAGCACCGCCGGGCGGGCAGGCAGGTGTCTTGCTCGGCTTGGGGGGCACTTTTTTCAGTGCCATTATAACTTCGTCACTAAGCGAACTGTTGTAAGTTGAGGACTACCTGTACTTCATCACTTTTTTCCTTTTTTTTTTTGGTCATCAAGTTTTTGACACCTTGCTAGGCGACTGGTGGTACTCAGATATTGCCATATCCTAAAAGTGATACAATGGGTGAAAAGGTTGAAAAGCCCTGCTCTAATGCATTTGAGAAGGCTTCTCTCCTTGGTGCTGTGTATTTCAGTAGAGGAGTAGTGATTTCTTATGGACAATGCAATTCCCCCTCCTCTTTTGTTTATTTTTTTTAACAATTTATATCTTTCTGGCAGTACTTTTGAATCATGGATTCCATCCCACCAAGTTTTGAGTCCTTCTTTGAGGGAGATGGGCAGTTCAGAAATGTGAAATATAAATAGGTTTCAATAATGGCAACAATATCATACCTGGATTTCAGGTACACTCTGTTTGTTCCCCATACTTTGAGGAATAATGTATAGGCATCTGAGTCCTTTATACCTTAAGGAGACCTGACCTTGTATTTGCTTCCTATTTCTCCTGTTTTGTACCTGAGTTCCTCTTCCTTCTTGCCACTCCTTTCCTTCTTGTTTGATTGGTTATTGTGGGGTTTATGTTTCCTGAAGATTTGTCTCCCTCCCCTTCCAGTTTTAGTTTAAAGCCCTTGGATAAGCTAAGCCAACTGTTTCCCAAACACATTATTCCCAGTTCTTGTGGATTGTAGTCCATCCCCTGCCAGAAGGCCTTTTTGTAGGTATTGTAAAACATGGTCCCCAAATCCAAAGTTCTCTCTGTGGTACCCTCCTTTGAGCCAACAGTTGACCTTCCATCAGATAAGAATATCATCTGTGCTCTTTTTCTCTTTCCTGCCTACAGTAGTCTCTTCATATTGCTTTCAGGATCTTTTTCGTATTATTCGTCCCAAGAGAGCATCAGCTACAAGTCAACAAGAGAGTAGCATACCAAGAAACTATTCAGTAGTCACTGAAATTTGTGTATTTGAAGTTCCACAATTCTTAAAAAGGTATACTTATTTGGCATTTCAATTTCCCTAAAGATGTTGCCCTCATTTCACCATTTTCACAAAGGAATTTGTGCTACACAGTCCCAGCTTTTTCAATGGCCACAGCACACTGTATAAGTTTAGAACTGTTGTGTGAATCAATGTTTGATTCATATTTTTCTAACGGCTTTATGTACTGAAAGAACAAAAATGCAGATTGTGAATTTCTAGATGTACATAGGAGAAAACAAAAAGGAAATTAGAAGTAACTACCTGATGTTTTGTGCCACTTGCTCTACTGGGCACATTTCGAGTTTGGATCCTATTGAAAGAACTTGTCCTTGTTTGTTGTCTGATACTTCATAAGCTGCTCTCTGATGGCCCATCTGTTCAGCTTTTTTATCCTCCTCTAGCTCTTCTGATGAAAGGTCTTTGTGTCCTAAAGTGGAGTTAGTTTCAGTTACATAACTAATGGCAGAGTTTATTGCTTCTTGTGAAGAACTTTGTGCCTTGGGGTGTCCTCCCTTTGTTTCATTTATGACTATATTTGTATTGGCTGTTAAATTTAAATAAGTCTCTGATCGAGTTAAACCATCTGCAGTAGTCTCCTTTGGTGGGCTTTCAGAAGCTGACTGAGATAAAAATTTTTCCTGTACTCCATCTGTATGAACAATTCCATTTCGTGACCCAATCCACTGAAGTTTCTTATTGCTATAAGTCTCCTGGTCTGTATCAGCTACATCCAGCTTGTTCTCATGAAAAGATTCCTCCTGAGATTCATGGGAAGTGGGGGTTTTTTCAATATGGGTGACATGAAATCTAGGACAAAGAAAAGACAGATCACTCAGCATCAGCAAATTACTCAGATAAAAACTACATCATTTTGATTGCCAGATAAGCTGAAGATCAGATTTTAAGATCCAAAGGCAGAATCTAAGTCTCAAAACATGATGGGTTTTGTTAATCCCCTCCTTTTTGCTGAACTTGCAGAAAAAGAAATTACATTCTTTCCCATGTGTTTTTAGACTGATTTATTCTGACTATGTGTTTTGAGTCAGAAATGATTTTAATGATTTTACAACAGCTGGGGACTTGGGCAGAAGTCAGAGGATAGCCCTTGTGTGGAAATTTACCTAATTCCTATCTATCCCTTCTATTTACTTCTTAGCTTGTTCTCTAAATTTCCAAGGAATTAGCCAATTGGAACACGGAAATCTGAACATCTGAATATTGTTGCTGCATTGGTATGCTAAATATTGCTACTGATTCTTCTTCATTCCCATTTGTCTGTCTACACTAATTTTCAAAAGCACCTTCTCAAGTATCTGCTCAATTCATGTATTATCTTTTATTTCAAACCTTGACATTTTATTAATACAGTTCTATCCAAATTGCATTCAATTCCATCACTGAAAAAATTTAGTTGAAGGAGTGACTAATGCAGTAACTGTGGGGAAATGATCATGTAATCCCAGAGTTCTTAATTTTCAGCAGCTCAATGAAGTTAATGCTAACAAGGAAACAGTTAACACTATTCAGTTTCTCTGTTGGTTCAGTTTTCTCTAACCAAAAAAGTAGGCACTTTACCAGGAAACTGTAAAGGGCAAGTTAAAAGAACAAAATCTATTAAACTCTAGCTTAATGGAAACATATATATACTTGTTTACTTTAAATCAACTTAAATCATTAGAAAGTGATAAACTGAATTTTGGGGTGATAGATGAACTAGCTGAAGTACAAATCTTTTTATGTATTATCTCCTACCTGGCTGAAAGAGAGCAAATGTTATACCCATCTTTTCACCCTAAAGAGAATAAAAAGGAAGACCAAACAAGCTGCAGGCTGATAAATCTTATGCTAAAATTTAGCAGAGGAGATTAAAAATAGAAACCATCATAGATTTGTCAATAATAAATCTTGCTAGCCTAATCTTGCCTCTTGAATAGATTTTGAGAATGCTGTAGACATATTGACGTCAGCAAATCATCTGACAAGAACTCAATGACATATCATTCAGGATGGATGGCAAGATAATTAAAATATATGCATAGCTTTCTCAAAAAGCATAAAGAGTGTTTATCAGTGGTTCCTCATCACATTGGAGAGAGATACTGTGTGAGGTTCCACAAAGGTAGGGTTTTGGTCCTCTTTTTTTCAGTATGCTTATGAATGAATTTGAAGAATAGGGGCTACTATCCTACCAAATTTGTAGATTACCCAATATTGGATGAGATAGATATCCCAGGATACAGAAATAAAATTCTGTATGATATCAATATATTAGAAGAATGAGTGAAAATGAAATAATGAAATGGAACAGAACTGAGTTCTTTACTTAGAATACAAAAATTATATATTAGAGAAAAGTATACCTTGTTAAATTATAACTTAAATATAACCAACGAGATGTGGCTGCAAAAAAAGTAAATACAATCCATCAAGAGAACTATAATTTTCAAATCATGGAAAATAATTGTTTCAGAATAACAAAATAATAGAATAACAGAATTGGAAGGGACCTTGGAGGGCTTCTGGTCCAACCCTATACCATTTCTCACAGGTGGTTGTCCAGTGTCTTCTTAAAAGCCTTCACTAATGGAGCACCCACAACTTCTGAAGTTAAGCTGTTCCATTAATTGACTGTTCTCACTGTCAGGAAATTTCTCCTTAGTTTTGGATTGAATCTCTCCTTGATTAGTTTCCATCCAGTGTTTGTTGTCTTGCCTTCACACGCTCTGGAAAACAGGTTAGCCCCCTCTTCTTTGTTTCAGCCTCTCAAATATTGGAACATTGCTATCATGGCACCCCCAGTCCTTCGTTTCATTAAACCAACCATCCCCAATTCCTGAAACCGGTCTTCATGTTTTAGCCTCCAAGCCTCTAATCATTTTTGTTGCTCTTTGTTCCTTTAATAAAAAGCTTTGTTTCTTTTTATTCTATTTTACTTAGACCTCATTTCAAGTACATGTAGTCCTCAACCTATGACCACAATTGAGCCCAAAATTTCTGTTGCTAGGTGAGACATTTGTTAAGTGAATTTTGCCCATTTTATGACTTTTCTTGCCCCAGTTTTTAAGTGAATCACTGCTGTTGTTAAGTTAGTAATACAGTTGTTAAGTGAATCTGGCTTCTCTACTGACTTTGCTTGCAGAAGGTCACAGAAGGGGTTGGGGTTCACATGACCCCGGGACACTGCAACTGTCATAAATATGAGTCATTTGCCAAGCATCTGAATTTTGATCACATGACCATGGGGAGGCTGCAAAGGTTATAACTGCAAAATGGTCATGTCACTTTTTTCAGTGCTGTTGTAACTTCAAATGGTCACTAAATGAACGTAAGTAGAGGACTATCTGTACTATGTACAGTTCTGGACAAACTTTAAAAAGGGTTTACAGAATATCTTCAAAGAATGTCAATAATGATATGATCTACAAATTAAATTGTATGAGGGGAAACTGAATATTAGAAAAAAAAAACGTCCTAACAGTAATACCAAGAAGCGAGCATGGGTTTCTTAAAAATAATCATGCCAAATGAACCTTACTGCTTTCTTTGATAAAGTGCCTAAATTAGTGGAGCAGGGAAATGATGTGGATACACTTTACTTGGACTTCAGCAACACATTTGATAAAGTAGACCACAGTCTACTTCTTGGTAAGATAGAACAATGTGGGATAAATAGTACCACCACCAAATGGATTTGCTATTGGCTGACCAACCATATTCAGTGGGTAGTCCTCAATAGAATTACGTGTACATGGAGGGAAGCATGCTGTGGAGTACCTCAGGGTTCTGTACTGGGGCCACTGCTCTTCAACATCTTTACAAATGATCTGGATGAGGAAAGAGAAGGAGAACTCATCAAACTTGCAGACAACACCAAGCTGGGAGGAATAGAAGATAGACTCAGGATGCAGAAGGTTCTTGACAGAGTTGAATCCTAACCAACAAGATGCAATTCAGTGATGAGAAAAGTAAGGTCCTGCAGTTAGGCAGGAAAAATCAGAAACACAGGTATAGAATAGGTGTACTTGGCTCAACAATAATAACTCTGAGAGGGATCTTGGTGACTACCATTTAGGTATGAGCCAGCAGTGTGCTGCAGCTTCCAAAAAAGCCAGTGCAATCAAGATCATGAGAAGCGATAGTACCACTTTTGTACTATTTACTAGTGAGACCTCACTTGGAATATTGCATCCAGTTCTGGTCACCATGATACAAAATAGATGCTCAGACTCCAGAAAGTGCAGAGAAGAGTAACAAAGATTATAAGGAATCTGGACACTATATCATAAGATGAATGGTTAAGGGAATTAAGTATGTCCAATCTGGAATTAAGGAGAAGCTTCCTGACAGTGAGAGGCATTAACCAATGGAACAGCTTGTCTCCTAAAATTGTGAGTGCACCATTGAGGGAAGTCTTCAAGAAAAGATTGGACAGTCATTTATCTGAAATGGAAAAAGGTCTCCTGCCTTGGGCTGGAGGTTGGAATAGAAGACTTCTGAGGTCCCTTCCAGACCTATGGGTCTACAATAGTTGTTTGACAGCAAAGCTATTACCCAAAGGGATGGTATGGTCTCCTTCACTGGATATGATGAAGTAAAGGCTAGCCTGGGATGTTATAATTTGGGTCTCTGCACAAAGGAAGGGGTTGGACTTGATTGCCTAAGAAGTGACCTCTTCCAATCTATGATTTTGTGATCTATGACCATGTCTTGCCTGGTCACCATTCTTCCCTCTCTTCAATTGATCTCTGTACTTTTCCTTTAAGAATTCTTTGTTTTGTATGATATTGATTCTTCCGTGTAATTTCTAATGGGGGCTCTTTCAGCACGCTGATATATATGCAAGCCTAAATCCTAAATCCTACAATCCTAGAATTACATGAACCCATTAGACCTGCAATCTGATGCCCACCACATGTGTTAAGTTACAGCTCCCAATCTCTACCAGCCATATTATAATCTGACAGATGTGAGGTTGGGCTCCCCAACCCAAATTGTGAAAAATTTTCTAGTTTAATCTACTCCTAATTCAGAAAAACTTGAGCTACTCCAATAGCTAGCTTTTAAAAAAGAAGTATGGCAACATTTACTTATTTCCAAAAACATTTCTAACTGATTTAATTTAGATGTTTTGCTAAATCATCATTATATTTTTGCAGAAAATCACAATCATTTACAAATTTAAAATATTAACATGACTAAGCTTAGCCATGTTAATATTTTGAATCTGTAAATTTGTAAATAATTGTGATTTTCTGCAAAAATAAGTAAATATATAATTACTTAAAAATAAATAAATACCTAAGTGGTGGTCATCAAAGTCCCTTTCAGAGTTGCTACTATTAAGCTAAGTGCATCTATTCTGTCCCTGTGTTTCTGGTTTTTTCTGCCTAAGGGCAAGACCTTACTTTTCTCATCATTGAATTGCATCTTGTTGGATAGGGCTCAAGTCTGTCAAGAACCTTCTGTATCTTGAGTCTGATCATGGGTCACAAAATCATAGATTTGGAAGATGACATCATCATCAAATTTGCATATGACATTAAACTGGCAGGAATAGCTAACATCCCAGAAGGCAAGCTCAGGATCCAAAGAGATCTTGATAGACTTGAACAATGGGCCCTATCCAACAAAATGAAATTTAATGTGGAGAAAAGCAAGGTTTAAGATTAGGCAGAAAAAAACCAAAGGTACACATACAGATTAGGTGAAACCTGGCTCAAAAACAGTAACTGTGAGCAGGACCTTGGAGTCCTAGTGGACAATCACTTAAATATGAGTTAGCAATGTGAGGCAGCACCCAAAAATGC